CTTAGCAGTCAGCTGAAGTGGCTGCAGTACTGCACTCTAACCACTGCGCCACCTTGGCTCTTCAATTATAAAACATGCTTCCAGTTAGGGAAAAGTATGGATGTAGCACTTGTTCACAAGATCTTAAAGGAGTTATGCCTTTCTTGGAATTGCTTATGATTGTTTTACAGTATTTTAGGTAGGTATTCTTCATGTTCCCAAAAAATGTTTCAAGACGGAATCCAAAGTGCTGCCCAGCCTATTTATTACAGTATATACACAAAACAGTGGAATTTTTAGCAATTCTCCATAATCACCCATCTACACACACTTAGGTTTCAGAAATGGAGTTTAAGTGGCAATGGGGAGGGGGATTGTACCTTGAAGAAACTAAATTTATGCAATTATTTGATATATTCAACTAGTTGCAGGTTTTTGGGCTCTGGTTTATGCCCTGCAGTATGACAGAAATAGCAGTAAAAATGCTACTTGATAAGTTTTTATCAAAAGAAAGGCTTGTTTCTGTAGTGCTTATGATTAGAAACTATCTCAATATGGAATTCATAATTGTATTGTTATGCTTCTTCAAAGGCATTATTTTGGAATATATTCAAAGAGGGGAACTGAAAACCAAATCCATAGATTTACTAGATCTCAATACTGCGTGAGTATTATATTTTCTTATAAAACACTAGGACTATACATTGCACTAAACAATTTAAGTAATGCCCACAGATATGCTGAACAGAAGAAATGCTACCTTTTAATCATAATGTTTGTGATGTTGATCTAGATTTGTTTATTTAAGATATGAATGCCTTATCCTGTCTCCTTTACATTCTTCACATATAGCTGTTAGTTTCTTTATGAATATTTTTGTGGCTTCAAGCTCATATAGAATTGGAAAATGCTATTTAGGACACTGAGTCTAATATTCTGCAGGAATTCCAATTAACCATTCTTAGAAAACGACTCCAGTCTTTGCTTGAAACATCCAGCGCAGTGGAGCATACCCTACTTTCTGTCATCAGGATTCTTTTTTCATAGTTTACCATGATTCAGATGATACCTGGCAAAATCTTTTTGTTTACACAGACTTTATTTTTCAGTGAGAATTTTCTCCATCATATGTGAGACACTCTGTATAGACATGTTTCATTAACTGTATATTGGTTCTTAGTGGTATTGTACATTTAACATTTGAAAAGATTTGAGACTATTTTCAAAGTGGTTGAATTAAAAAATATCAATGGAATGTAAAAAAATTAACTACTATGAAACATCCTGAGAAGTGCTATATCAAAGATTACCTTTCTTTTATGAAGGTGGGGATAGGGAGGAGATAAATGAACATGATGGAGAAAGATCAAATACATTTTAATATAAATTAAAACATGATGCCATTGAAATAATTATATTCTTGCTTGAAAAGCTGATTTCAAAGTTCATCTATGTTTAAGAACACAGTTTTACAGTGTAATTAGTGTCATTTCAAATGAATTGATCAAAAATAGAAAAGCTACCTAATGAGAAATTTAGCATTTATTCTGGGAAAAGCTGTTATAACCCAATCCTATGCATGTTTACACAGAAGTAAGTTCCAGCAAGTTCAATATTCAATTTCTTAAATGTGCAGATTGCCTTTCTATCATAAGAGTTGGAAAGTGACTTACAATATGTAATACAGAAAATATACAAAATAATAGAAATAAAACCTACACTATTGAAATAATTAACTAAAGATAGATGAAAGCAGATATTTGCTCAAACAGAACTATTTCATGGCACCAAAGCAATTTATTTATGAAGTCACAGACATGTTTGAAAAAGATGTTCTTTTAGAGGTAGATTGTCATAAAAAGAACTAAATCACCACCTTTGTCAATGAGTTCCTGTACTAGGAGCCACCACTGCAAAAAACATTTTCTCTTTGAGATTTAAAAGGTATCAATCTGTAGGAAAATAATATATGTAAAGCACTATTTGTTTTCAACAACCTAACTGAGAAATCTTTGATGTAATTCAGTAAAGCTTTTGGAAAAGTCTTAGTTGAACTAAATGAGTCTTGCTCCTTTGTTAGTGTATAGACTATTACTGTGTTAAAGAAAATTGTGTTCCAAACAATTAGGTTTAAAAGGTTAGAGCAATTATTGAAAACCTTTGCTATAATTTAGCAATTCATATACCTAAACTGCATATATATAAAATATTATAATTATCTATGGTCCTAAGAATGATTTAGAAACTGTAATAGCTTTAATATAATTGCTGAGATGTATAAACAATAAGAAGGATTTATTTTACCAAAAAATTGGGAAATGGTAGGAAGAGAGAATTCTATAGTATATTTTTAAGTAAGACTGTACTATAGAATTCTTCCATTACCACCACTATATCATCATATGTGAAGTCTGACACATTTAAATTTAGAAATCAAGTTTCACTGATCAGATTACTACCATATTTTTCAGAGTATAAGACGCACCTTTTTCCCTCAAAAAAGAGGCTGAAAATATGGGTGCATCTTATACACCGAATACAGAATTTTTTGCCACCTGAAACTCCGACCCCTTCATCAAAATGGCCGTGCATAGCTTTTAGAAGTCTTTCAGAGAGCTCCTGGGGACTGGGGAGGGCAGCTTCCCAAAGGCTATCCATGCCCTTTTTGTGACAAAAAAATGGGCCCGTTTTCACGAAAAACAGGCCATTTTTTTCTTATATTCCCCCCTCCCCACATCCTTCCAGGAGCACTCTATAAACCTAAGGGCTATTCATGCCCTTTATTGGTGGGGGGAGGGCCGGTTTCATGAAAAACGGGCCATTTTTGGGAGGTTTGCAGAGTGCAAAACCTTTTTTTAAAATTTTCCTCTTCAGAACCTTGCTGTGTCTTTTACTCCGGTGCGTCTTATACCCTGAAAAATACGGTAAATGGTTGAGTGAATGCTATAAAACATTGCAACAATACATAATTCATTTTTATATTTATATTTGTAAACTGCTGCTGAAATATTCTCAGTGTTAAACAAGCATGTCTTACTCAACTTCAAATTTGTGATTATAATCTGGGTGTTATAATTTTTCACATTACTTTAATTTTTAAATTATTTATTGCAGCATCCATCATTTCCAGAGAAAGCAGCTCTGGCATGATGGATGTTGATAATAGGAACAATTATTTAACTGTTTGTCAGAAGATGAAAACTGTGTTTTAAAATGTACTTTAGAACTGATGTAGAAGCCTTAGTAGAAGATATTAGAAAAGCAGAGCCTCTCATCACACAGTCACGGAAAGATCAGGTTGTACATTTAATTCTACGATTACAAGAGAAGCTAGGACAACAATTGGACCACAAGTTCTATCTTTTTAAGGTAAGAGTCATGAGGTATTTTTTTAGTCATGCAATAAAGAATCTTTATATTTTGAAACATTGTTTTCTATCTTTCTGTTTGTGAGTGCCAATATAAGGAAACAAAATAAAATGGAGAACGAACATCAGCATTCGCATGGCAACACTTCATTGCAAATCTTACTTGATTCTTTAATTTCTACTTTTTTGTGGGTGAGGTGTATAGATATGTAATCTTTGATTCCTTCATTTTCATTCTGGAAAAAAAAAATTGAAATTTCAGCTACAGTACTATAATTCACTAAGCCACAGATAAATAGTCTCTCGTAATATCTTTAATTTTAGCCAATTACTAAATTCTAGTAATATCTTTAAAAATCAAATATACAATCAAAATGGAGGGTGAATAAGAAATCCCCCCTTCAATAGTGAAACCATCTCGCCAGGTCTCCAGTTCCATGGGATGTCCAGGCTCGGCCACATAAGCAGATACAGAGGACTTTAAGGAATATCCAAAGGGATGAGAGTCAATGTAATTTTGAGGAGAAGGAAGTTCCATAAGGTGGGCACCATAAAGGGGTGAAATTCAGCAGGTTCTGACAAGTTCTGGAGAACTGGTAGCAGAAATTTTGAGGCGTTCAGACAACTGGCAAATACCACTTCTGGTTGGCCCCAGAGTGGGGTGGGAATGGAGAATTTTGCAATATCTTTCCCCCAGAAATGGGAAGGGAATGGGGATTTTGCAGTATTCTTTCAATGGGATGGGAATGGAGATTTTGCAGTATCCTTCCCCTACCAGGCCCACCAAGCCACACCCACAGAACTGGTAGTAAAAAAATTGAATTTCACCACTGGCACCATAGCAGAGAAGGCATATTTCCTGGAATCCACCAAATGTAGATCCCTGGCCAATGATATCTCCAGCATGCCTTCTGTTACTATGAAATTTTTAATGTGATAAAAGCAACAAATGATTTGAAAATAAATTTATCAGTTGTTTTTCATTTTCATTAAAGGTAAATAAAAGGGGAAAAAAATAGCTATTGTCCTGATCTCACTTATTACACACTGAAATGTGTCTCTTTTATATCATTCAAATACTGTATGACTCTCGACTGGAAAAAACTGTGTATTCCTGCATTAAGGTGAAGAAAGATGATTACAATACACCAGGCTTTTTTAGAAGTTAAAGACCTAGACCACAGGTGTTCAACTTGCTGTGTCACATTGCCATCATGTGACGTTTTGGGACGTTTTTCCCATTCATGGAACTTAGGTGAATGTGGCCTGTACATGACATATCTGGCCTGTGGGCCGCCAGTTTGACGCTCCTGCCTTAGATCGTTGGCTATTCAAGGCAATTAGCAGGAACAGATTTATTAAACTGTTAATGAAACAGTTAGATAACTTAGAAGGCTAAGTTATTAAGTAAGATGGCAACATCTAGGCAATCTTTAAAAAGCTGTCCTGTTTAATATTTCAATAGGAAATCATCCCAATATTATCAAATCCCATGATTATATTTCATGGAATATCATGAAAAAAGACAATGGTGAATTATTTCTATTTTCTTGTAAAACTGAAAACTAAGCAAACTATCTAGAGAGCCAGTGTGATGTAGCAGTTAAGATGCTAGCCTAAAAACTAGGAAACAGCGTTCTAGGCTCCCTTAGGAATCAAAGCGAATTGGGTGACATTGGGTCAGTCTCATTCCAAACACATCTCACAAGGTTATTGTTGTGGGGAAAAATAGGAAGCAGGAGTATTAATTATGTTCTCTATCTTTTGTTGACCAAATATTTTAAAAGGGTGGAATAATAATACATATATCAAAGATTTCACGGAATTTCTATTTTATAAATGGTCAATTTCTGTCCTTTTCTGAAATTGCAATATTTCATTCACAAAGCTAGATGGCAGTGTTGAATTAGTCTATTCTAAATGGACTACTAGTTGATTCCAGCTACAGTAGTCTCTGAAAGGTACCTCAACCAAAAGGAAGATTTGAAATAGGAGACAATGTAATTTGAAAATAGGTTGTAGTGCCTGCTATTCATGACTTTGTTATGTTAAGCTAAGTGTTTAAGTGGGTGAGTGATCCATAAAGCATTAACAACTGGAATCAAATGTGTACTAGAGATATAAATGTCCTTAGATTTCTTTTATCTTAAAATGCTATGCCAATCAATGCAAATTGTTAACATCTGTTGTTAGCCAGAAATGTAGGTAAAACAAATGTACTTTAAGAAAAGTGAATTAAAAATTACTATCGTATATAAAAATATTTTTGTGCTAAGTTATGATTACAGAGTATATAAAAAGGAAAGGTGCAGAAAAACAATTACTGTATACTACTTGAACTAGAGTAAGATATTTCAGGCAGTTGAATAGAAAAAATGATTTAGTCATCTAAGTTGTAAATTGCAGGGGGGAAACCTTCATTAGTATCACCAATGCAATACAAAAAAATCTATAGATCAACAATTAAGGGTAGGGTTTAGGCCTATTCTACATGGGCATTTAATTGCCAAAAATTGGATATTTTTGTATAAAGCAGGAATATTTTGTTTTCATTTATGAAGATTTGGTTCTGTCTAGAATCCTAGCTGATGGTCATGCCTTTCTTAAATGAGATGCAAAAATATAATAATTTTAAAGTCTTATTGTACAATATAACAGTAACAGAATACGAGGCTGGTATGGCTTAAAAAGTTTTTTTTTTTCTTGCTGATTCTCTCATAGATATATACCCTAGTATGAAATATGAACTTGGCTGAATTGCTTTTTGTAGAAAAGCATAAGTAACTATTTGAGGAACCATTGTTCTCCCATTGGTTAAAACCATCAGCAGGTGGAATAAGTTGGATACCAAGTTTTTCAAAAACTTTCCTTAGATTTGGTTTGTTCAATGACAGATAAAAATGCTTGACTCCTCCAGGTTCTGTTACTATATATGCTGTATTTTTCAGATAGCCACAGCAGAAGGTCTTCCTATTAGTAACTGTCATATCCTAACTTTTCAGTCTTTTAATCATTGTTTTCCGAGAGCTTTGAACATTGCCTTTCTTCTTTTAGGGCCTTTTTTCTTTTGATAAGATCATTCAAAACCAGGCAGTGAAGATAAAATTATTATAAGTGACATGGTCTTTCATCAGTTTCTCTGGCCGCAGAGAATCAATTATCCAAATTTAACTTTTACTGATTCTTTTTAAAAAAACCTAGGTTATTTATATGCATTTTGTTCCATGAAAGCAAGATACAGAATGTAGTTAATATGAAATAAAAGTTCTGCTTAAAAGATGTCCTCCATATTGATAAAAATAGGGGTTCTCCCTCCCTCCAGTTCAGCAAGAAATGACATGCAAATATATTCATTGGACACTTATTTGTCAAGAACAGAGAAGTGTAAATAAGACTAGTTTTCTATTTTCACTTCATATCACCTTGTAACTGTCAATAACACCTCTTAATGGAGACACAGGATGGGTATGAAATGGTTGTATCTTACTTAGCTGTTTCCTGGGTGATCTGTGTGTTTATGTGTGTATTTGTGTTTGTGTGTGTGCTCAGATAAGTAGCAAGCTGCTGTAGCATAACTTGATTGGCATTTGAGTTTTTCATACATAGAGCATGCTGTTATGGCATGGTGATTTAATTTAATTAAGCATAATCTAACCAAATCCTCTATTCAAGTGAAGTGCATACTTAAATGACTGCCATTGAAATCAATAAGCACTCAAATCAGAGAAACACTTAATTTTATTTAAACAACTCACATATTTCAAATATATATTTATGGAACTAGATTTACGATGGCAAAAATGTATAGAAATATAATGAAAAGTCATTGTATTTTTTGTAATTTCAGGTACTTCGAGCACATATATTGCCACTCACCAACGTTGCCTTTAACAAATCAGGTTCTTGGTAAGTTAAGATATGTAGTTAAATTAAAAGTATGTAATCTAAATGGAATGGTATACTTAAACTAAAATTGTATTTGGTACAATTAACAATCCATGTTTTCCCGTGCTATTGTTTTAACTAAACAAAGTTGATTAAAGTCATTAGGGCATGAAAGGCCAAAACTACAGCAGTAGCAACAACAGTAGAAAAAACCCTCAATTAAAATGTTTTAGTAAATAATAGATAGCAAAATGACATTGAATAAACATATGTTTTTCTTTTCCTTAGCCAGTGTTCTGCTTTTTCTAACTATTCCTTGAAATGCTGCTAGTTGATAATGTAACACAAATCTACCATTTTAAAAATGTCATTCACTGCGATACTTAAAACCATTAATGTTAACATTTGAAAAGTATGTCCCAATGCTGAATTTATTCTTTTTTAGTTCACTTATGCTGTGGTGAATGTTTTACTAATATTTATGTAGTAGCAAATTGCCACTAAAATCCAGATTTTAGATTGCAAAGCTATTGAGGCTGCAAATAATTATTTATTCAGGACAAGTCCTACTAGACATATATAAGATATCATTATTCAACAATTCAAAAGTACAATGATATACAAAAGCCCTTGACATTTTTCAATGTCTTATTAGTAATGCTTCATAACTAGTAGTGAGTATACCATGATAGGAAATTCTTCCTAGCCTCTCCCTATTCTGAAGAAAAATGTGTTTTTCTACCCGCCTGTTCTCCTTACCTCTATTTGAGCCGACCGGGGCATTTGTGCATGCTCATGGGGCGTACGGCTCCTGCGCGATGCCTGTCGAGCAGCTGGAGCATCACGTGCAGTGGGCATGCATGCCCGTGCTGCACATGTGCACGTGGTGAATGCCCGGCCCCGTTGCAGCATACCGGTTGCAATGGGAGCCAGAACCCACCACTGGCCCAGGCATTTCTGTTATTTGTGTTCTCTGTACATGCTCAGTAAATTGAATGATATTAATGTGGCTTAGAACTTGACAGAGCAAAATTACTCTAAATTTAAAATTGTATTATGTATCTGTCCATAATCCTAATTCTCTTTCCTTTCTCAAGTTTTATGTGGAAAATTTATGATGCTATGTATGATTTCTAGGAGCTTTGTATGTTCATTTCTTACAATGTTAGATTGTTTTACATGTAATTCCTAAAAAGAAGCAAAAAGAAATTTTACATTGTCTTTTTTTCCATTTTTAATAAATAAATTTTATTTAACATCTAAGAGATTGATCTTTCTCTAGAGTAAAAGGACTTATCTCTCTAGTCACATACCTCTTGCTACCATCTTAGTAAATAGAGCTATAGATTGTATTCATCTTTATCATTATTGTCTCTTTCTTTCTATTTGTCTATTGGGTTTCTAGGCTTTTCCTTGTGCCAGTAACAACATCTCTCTTGAAGATAGGCAGCTGTAACAGCAAACTTTGTACACTAAGGCAGGAAGATGGCCAGACTATGTAAACTTAGAAGGCTTCTGGGAAAGGAATTTTGAAACATCCATACTTAGACCTACTGGTTTCAGTCTTATTGTTACAAAAACACTAGAGGTCATGCAATCTTCTCAACAATATACAACATACAAGATTATGTATGTTATAAATGTTTAGATTTGTTATAATCTTTGCCAATACAACATTACTTAAAAATATGAGAATAATTAATGGCCATTGAATTCAGTCAGAAGTGCATTAATTTGTGGATGAGAACAAATGGATCTGAAAAGATAAAATGGACTTGTTTGTTGTAGCTTTATCACTGGAAGTTATGACCGAACATGCAAACTGTGGGATACAGCAACAGGAGAAGAGTTACATTCTCTGGAAGGCCACAGAAACGTGGTGTATGCAATTGCTTTCAATAATCCTTATGGGTATGTAACTTTTCAAAATCCTAAATACACCCTGGTTGTACATGTCTTCAGATCTAAGATATGTTGCAAACTTTATTTGAAAGGCGTATTTTTATACCCCAGCTTTAATTGTCTGCATTGAACTTTATTTTGGTTTCCTCTTCTGTTTGATGCAATGCTGTTAGATGGTAGGAGTTTTACAGGATTTGGCACTATATAAGTTAAATCAACAAATATTTGGAGTTAATAATAAAACAATAACACTTTTCTATTTACTTAGTGACAAGATTGCTACTGGATCATTTGATAAGACCTGCAAATTATGGAGTGTAGACACAGGAAAATGCTATTATACTTTTAGAGGACATACTGCAGAAATTGTAAGTAAGGAGTTTTTGTTGCACTTAACAACTGTATATATAGAGCAGAAATGAGTAAAACAGCTTGACTTTAAAATGAGTTGTTCCAATCCCATTGGAGGTGTTCTGAATGTGACACAATTTGCTTCAAGTTCAGAACAGTTGTAAGTTAGAAAGCAACACATTTTAGACTTGAACATTTATTTTTCTAATAGGGAGTAGTTTCGATTCTTACAAACTTCTTCCATCATTGTTGTATATACCATCTTGTCATTTAGTGACTTCAATCCATTCCAGCAATTTTGTTTTTAAGCAAAATGGTTGTTCAGTTAACATATGACTGAGAAAGAGAGGAAGAGGGAAAGAGACGTTGCAAAGATAATTGGTTGTTTCCATGTCATTCAGATGAATCCCCCCCCCCCATTTTTTTATCATTTGCAGAGTGGAGAGATTGCTAAACAAGCTGTCTCCTCTTGAGCTGCTTTTCTCTGCAGAACAGCATATCCCTAAGTACCATAAATTAACAGGCTCAATACTTTAATTACTTGATTAGAACCCTGCATTGGTTAAAGCTGCTTTTTGAAACTGTGACCAGAACATAATCAGTTGCATACAGAAGGCCTTTGTTGACAGACTCCTGGAATTTGGTTGCAGGCATTGGTCTTTTATTACCACCTATATTTATGAATGGTCACTAACTGAGGTCGTCATAACATAAGGAGTGCCTATGAGCATGACACAGTCTCCTCTCTTGTTTAATATGTACATGAAACAGCTGGAAAAGCTCATCATTGATTCAGAGTCCATTATCACCAATATGCTATTTTTATCCAGTTGTACATCTTGATTCTGGGCTATCCCAAGTGATGCCATTAATGTCCAATATCTGGAAATTGGGCCAGTCTGGATGGAGAGGAACAAGCTCAGACTCAAGTCTTCTAAGAATGAACGGCTGAGAATTTTTAGGCTTAGATCAATCTTCTTGTTGCCATTTATAATCCTGTGCGACTAATACATAGATCAGCAGGAATTGCATTCTGTTGTGCTATCATGTGCCTGACGGCAAGAAAGTTAGGAAAACTAAGGACTTCTAAAAAGATCTGCTGTCCCTTTTTTATCTTACAGGTTTGCTTATCATTTAATCTTCAAAGCACACTAGTTGCAACTGGAAGCATGGATACTACGGCTAGACTATGGGACATACAGAATGGAGAAGAAGTAGTCAGATTAACAGTGCGTTGCAATTACTTATAGTTCTAACAGGCATAGTATGCTTTCTTATGTTTTAAATGGAATTAAATGAAATTAACTTATTGAAAGAAGAAAGGTGCCTTATATCCATGGCCTTATATCCATTTGTTCAAAGTTAAAGCAGCATTGAAAAACTAGCCCATGAAGTTTTCGCCATTGTAGCACCCCTGCAGATATGTGATGATCAAAATCTGGCACTCAGACACCCAGCTTGTGATTATAATATCTCACAGAACTGTGTTTACCTGATGGGCATTTGCAGCCTTTCCTACCAGCTTTCTGAGAAAAGTCAATGGGAAAGCAGGCAGATTCTACCACTTTGCTCTGACAACCAACTACCTACACCCACCCACCCCAATCTGTTTGTATTTGGTAGCAGCTGCCCACTCCTTTTTAGAATTATTCATGTTGATTGGAGATAATCCAATTCACCAAATGAGGTCCACAACCTACAGTATCTTAAACCAAATTTTCCAAAGCCCACTTCCACCATATTTTGCCTGTTTCCCATGGTTTGTTTTTTTTTTGTATTGTTTGTCCCAGGCATACACTTCAGTCAAGCTTTATGAACTATAATCCTAATATGTCACAACAAGCCAGTGACTTATTTTTTCACTCAGGTTTCAAGACTATCGATTTCTTTTACTTTGATTTACTTTTACTTCCTTTCATGTCTGAAAAAAATGTTTGTTTGTACTACCATATATATAAACAAATTCTATGAAATCTTCTTTTTTACAAAAAATGTAGGGACATTCTGCAGAGATTATTGCATTATCGTTTAACACCACAGGAGATAAAATCATCACAGGTTCTTTTGACCATACAGTTGCAGTATGGGATGTTAGCACGGGCAGGTAATGCTATCTTTTATGTTATGTTTTACAGAAATCCTGCTTTGTACAGACTAGGATTATATAGTTCATAATATGATCTGTATGCATTTTTGTTTTATGCATTATACAGCAGAATCAATGGAGCTATTTTTTTTGTTTTGAGGCAGATTTCCACATTTTCAGATTACTGTTTGCAGTTGGATTTCTGTCTGCCTTATGGCATAGTATGAGGTAAAAACGGTGATGCATGGTTTGATTTGGTTTCCCATTTCTCCACTGTACATATGGCAGTTGCCTGTACATTTGTAGTCTAGATCTGATTGTCCCAACACTTGGTTTCTCTGCATATCTTTTTTTTGAAAATTGCACTGATTATGTTCCCTAGTTTGGTTAATGAAATATCTGCAAAAAAACCAACCAAGCTCAGAGAGCATCAAGGCCCCCTCATTTCAGCCTTGAGCTATAAATATCTCCTGTTATTCATCATCGCACAGTCAGACAGATATTCAGTCTAGGTTTGGCATTTTTATCTACCTATCGAGTCCTTACCAAGGACCTGGGATAGACAAATCTGGATGTTTGATGGTGTTACAGATATTGTCGCAGGATGGAAGCAGTTCCAAGTAAAGCCACCTTCTGCAATTGACTGATGGCAAATTTGTCAATGCTTATGGTGTTCAAGTGGTGCTCTAGTTGTTTTGGGACTGCACCCAAGACATCTATTACTATTGGTACTATCCTTGCTTGCCTTTGCCATGGTCATTCTATTCTATTTGTAGGTCTTTGTATTTTGTTATCTTCTCCAGTTTTTCTCTTCTATTGTGCTGTCTCCAGGCACTGCTGCATCTATTATTATTATCATCATCATTAATAATAATAATATTAATATTATTATTATCATCATCACAACAGAATTGTATCACAGCGGCCAGTTGTTTTGCCGGATTTGGCATTGATTACTAGTCGGGCCCCACCCAGGGGCCTAGGACGTCATAACATATTTTCGTAATATGCGTGCAGATCCAAGCAGTGCTGTTTTAAATGTAATTCCAGTGCTTTTGGAATAGCACCCAGTGTGCTGATTACTACTGGAATTACCACTGCTGGTTTGTGCCATAGTCGTTGAATTTCGATTTTTAAGTCCTGGTATTTTGCAATTTTTTCATATTCCTTCTCATCAACCCTGCTATCACCCGGTATTACGATGTCTATGATTGTAACCTTGTTTTTCTCAACCAATGTGATGTCTGGTGTATTATGTGTTATTGTTGTTGTTATTATTATCATCATCATAAACATCATCATATTTGTTTGTTTGCTTATTTATTTATTTATTTATTGATATTACACAAATATAAGTTGCATTACCTTCCTGGACATGGGGCTTAAAAGAATACTTGCTATCGAATTATGGATTTTTTTTTCCTTGTGTGTCTTTGAATCAGAATTAAATCCCAACAGCTACCCGGAAAAATCTTGCAGTTTCTTGGCAAGGATTTTCAGAAGTGATGTAGCTGTTCCCTTTTGGGCCAGGCTGAGAGACAGTGGCTAGCTGAAGGTCGCCCAACTGGCTTCATGCCTAAGACAGGACTAGCACTCCCAGTCTCCTGGTGTCTTGCCTGGCTCTTTAACCATTATACCAAAGGGGCTCACTAGGGTTATTCCTTAATAAAAGAATCTCACAAAAGGGCAATGTAATTCAAGAACATGATAAACTTCAAAACTGAAAGTGTGGGAAAGGGGGGGGGGAGAAAAGAGGAAGGAGAGGAGGAAAGAAGATGGCAGAGAAGGGAGGTTGAGAGATGGAAGGAGCAAGGTTGTTGCAGAATAATATGGATACGGGATGGCAAGAAAGTGACCCAAACTGTAATTTGTAAGAAGATAATAAACATTAATGGTTAACAGATGCATGTTAATAGCACCTATAAGAATATATATTTGTGAATTAATTTTAAAGGGAAAAATAAAATAAAAACTTTTTCAAAAAAACCTCCTGAAATGCTTGCAATCCTAAAGTGTAACAACACAAGCCAGTTCAGGCTATTTCCCTTCTAAGGCTATTTGATTCAGCAAAAAGTTTCAGTTTTCATAGCATTACCTAACCAAAGCTGAAGTGATAGAAAGCTTGTTATCATTTTGCCAAACTAACAGTAACAAACTTTAGATAATTGTTATGGGCCTAGTGGAGAAATGAAAGTCTCTTTGATTTACTATATGACCTTGTCCACTTTAAAACTATTTTTTTTCATATTTTTATAAAATAAAATGCTAATATTCATTTAGAAAATAAATATAATGCAAACTACTCATTAGGCTTTACTGCGTAAGCTTTTGTAGAGAAAAACACCATATTTTAATACCAGGGTTGCTTATTTTTTGTGCTTATTTATTTGGGTAGAGCTCTTTCTTCTTGTGATACTTATTAAATAAACATATCAAGGACATCACTATCTGTATCATTTCTCTAACTTTTTTTCCAAGGATGTCTGTGATTAATAGATTTATATAATAATTTAAACTACCATTTAACTTGAAATTTATTTTCTTGCCCATCAGGAGAATGCATACTTTAATAGGTCATCGTGCAGAAATAAGCAGTGCACAATTCAACTGGGATTGTACTCTGATCATCACTGGATCTATGGACAAAACATGCATGGTACAATAGTGTATTGCAGGATATGATATGTTTTTATATGGAAAGGATTTATTTACTCGCCTAAAATATTTGATTCAGCAAAAAGTTTCAGTTAGCCATGTCTTCTTTAGATTTGTCTTTTTTAGTTTTTCTTCAGAAATTCTGAGATGTAGATCCAAACAATGGAATATTGCATCCTGTATATAATTTTATCAGAATCATAGTTCAGATTATATGCTAACAATATATAAGATGTTAGAGGAATAGAGACAATCAGAGATACGAGCCAGCCAAGTGTCCTAGAGCTTTGGAGAATGGTATGTTTCAGCCAGAGCCTCAATTATAAGATATGGGATATAGATATTAAAAATATAAGCATGATCATATTGACCATACAGTTCTGGCAGACTCATGGTTTTTTTTAGTCATTTAGTAATATAATTGTCACACTTTTGGTTCAAAGCACATGTAAACTAAGTAGGAACAGCAACAAGAATGATACATTACATATCAACCTGGCTGGAAAAGAAACATAACTATATATTGAAATCAGGCAAACTAAATCTGTCCCTAATAATTCTTTAAAAGAGCATCTTGCATTAAAAATTATTTCAGTAAATGTCTAATTTATATTGCTGTTATGTCATAGAAGCTATCTTTTACACTGTTTACACTAGCTCTATGTTCTTTTAAAGAAAAAGATTAAAGGCCAGGTATACTTGCAATGAAAGTCCAGTATGATATAAAACGATGTTTTTGATTGCCTGAATTTGTTTGCGTAGGTTGTTTAATGCTTTCCCTCACATTGCAGCTTTGGAATGCTTTGACAGGCAAACGGGTGGCAACCTTAACAGGTCATGATGACGAAGTATTAGATGTTTGTTTTGATTATACTGGCCAGCGTATTGCAAGTGCCTCAGCTGATGGTAGGTGAAGAAGATTTCTGAAAAACTAAAATGATTTTTTTATTCCCGTTTTACATTCTGTTAGAAGGTATGCCTCTTAAACTGAAGCGCAAATTATTCCTGTAACCCTGTAATCTGCAAATTGCAAAGTTTGCGGTACATACAACACACAGACTCATTTCCACAGCCTCCACCTATGTTCAACAATGAAAGGACACAGGGCAGAATAACATCCTGTAGAAAGCACAGCTCCACAACACAGTCTTTTCAGCAGTTCCAAGAAGGTTTCACTCTCATTTGCATTACTCAGGTGACCCTGAGGAAACAGAGAAAACTTCCAAGTAGCCTCCATGACTCTCTAAAACAGTGTTTTTCAACCACTGTGCCGCGGCACACTAGTGTGCCGTGACATAGTGTAAGGTGTGCCGTGGGAGAATTACTTTATATATAGTCAATATAGGCACAGAGTTAAATTTTTTTAACATTTTCTAATGGTGGTGTGCCTCGTGATTTTTTTCATGAAAAAAGTGTGCCTTTGCACAAAAAAGGTTGAAAAACACTGCTCTAAAAGAATGCAAATCACCATCTGTCTGCAAGGAATATAAACAGAGGTAAGTTGCTGCCAGTTTGGCCCGGTTTGGCCAAACTGGTAGTAGAATTCAGGCCTGGGTCGCAGAACCGGCAGTGACCCAGACCTGCCATGACTGCGAAATGGTTCCCTTGCTGCCATTTGGCCACCGTCATTTTGGATTTTAGTGACTGCGTGTGTGCAGTTCACTGTAAATTGTTCTGCACATGCGCACAGAACAATTTACATTGAACAGCCTGCGCATGTACATTGCGAACCATCAATAACGCCAGCAGCAACCCACCCCTGAATATAAATCCTTCCATTCCCCACCATCTAGTCAGAGCTGAAGAAGCTTCTTGTATGAGAAGTGAAACGTCTTCAAAGAAAACCAAGAAAGTTCAGTTGCCCCTATAAAAGCACCTTTGGGACAACCATGACATGGATGACTGAGAATCTCCATAGATATTTAGTGTCCAGGAGTATTCATATGGTAGTGTCATTTTCAATTATTGAATTATCTAATCATGCCAAAGGAATGTTTCTCATAAGAATATAAAGAATATAAAATTTGAATAATAGTTTATCATACTTTATCAGCAAAAGAGCTTCAGAAACTTCCATGTCACTTATAATCACACCTTAAAGCAATAATAGATGTTTTATTTGTTTGCATTGCAATCTGTTTCTTTAACTGACTAGAGAGCACCAGGAGACTCTATATTATGCATATTACTTAGAAGTAAATCCCCCTAGACTGAATGACATTATTTGCAAATATCTTTAGGAAAGTAGTTAGTCATATCCACTCTATAACTTATATTTTTATCAAAATTTTGTTTGAATGTATTAATATTTAGCAAAAATGTAAGCTATTTATATTCTTTTTTTACCAAAGGATCAGCGAGAGTATATGATGCAGAAACAAAGAAATGTGTTGCAAAACTTGAAGGCCATACAGGAGAAATTTCAAAGGTAAAATGTTTACGTGTTTCAAATTCTTTCATACTGCTGTTATAGCTCAAACTTTGGCAGTTCTGCTTATTTTTCATAAAATATTTTTCTATTTGAATATGACCAAGAAAAGGTTTTTCTTTGTGTTCTAAATATAGATTTATTTCTTTGTGCTTCTACTGTAGTAGTAGGCAATGGCTCTCGGGACACTCAAATTGTTATTATCTAGTTATTTAAATATCAAGTCAGGTGGATATAATGCAATAGAAATCAAGCACCACTAGTTAATAATTTGCACATTTCATTGAGATAGAGCACCCAGTGAGGTAAAAAATGGTATATAAGTTGTCGTCATTGTCGTCATCACTACTTCATTTAGAAAAATGTAGCAGCTTGCACATACAGTTAACTACTAATCTATTCTACACACAATTCTACCAATCTTTAGAATTTTAATCATTCTTGAGTCTTCCAGTATATGCTATCAAATTGATCATGCTTTTAAATTCCTTTCTTCTTGTGTATAACATTAATAGACTTATGCTTAAGCTACTGGATATATTCAAAACAAAGAGACATTGTCCAAAACAATGTTACTAATAATGTCATTTGTAGCATTTGGCTGGCCAATCACATTTTTTTTGTACTGCCTCATCCCATTTTCATTCATCCATTCATGTCACCTACAGACTGCTTACTGTTAGCTGTTTACTGTATACTGTGTTACTGTGTAATGCATATCATATTAATTCAGAACATTGCATATTTTTTCCTAGAACTCATATCTGCTTCTTTCATTTTCACTACTTACTGGGTGTGACATGTAACTATCTTCAACCTATGACTTGCTACTTTGATATGCAATTATAACAATCTAAAGGTAAAGGTTCTCTCGCACATATGTGCTAGCCATTCCCAACTCTAGGGCGGTGCTCATCCCCGTTTCAAGGCCGAAGGGCCAGTGCTGTCCGAAGACATATCTGTGGTTATCTGGCATACATTTTAATCCATTAGTTCATAATTAAGTCTACAACTTCATTAATCTTAAATTAGTTCATAATCATTTCAACATTTTTTACTTCTCTAATTTTGCAAAATAATTATAAGTACCATTCTGAGAAGAAAGAGAGTGAATTAGTTTCTGGTGACTTGCCATGGGAAACTTCATTCTGTTTCAGTGTCCTAAATCAACTTTTTGCTAAAAGAGCATGACTACTTTAAATCCACCCACTTGGCTGCATGCATAAAATAGAAATGGAAGTGATAACAAACTATAATAAAGTATTCTAGTTTTTTAACTTTTTTAAAAAAATATATCATTTTATCATTTTTAAAGGTCTGTTTCAATCCTCAAGGAAGTTGTATTCTTACAGCCAGTTCAGATAAGACAGCTCGCCTTTGGGAGCCCAAGACGGGACAATGCATTCAAATATTGGAAGGCCACACTGATGAGATATTTTCCTGTGCTTTCAATTACAAAGGGAATATAATTATTACAGGTAACTAAGTACATGGTCTGAAATAAAATTGTTATATTTCAATTAAATTTTTAATCAGGTAGTGGTGAATAAAAATAAAGCAATGTGAAATAAAGTGTTTCCCAGTTTTTCTTAGTCCAGAAATTTATTATACATATTGGATTAAAATAGTTGGGTTTGGAGGGGATTGATCTATTTACATTTCTCATCTCTTACGTGAGGCTGAAGTAAAACAACTTTCAGATTTCAATATTTGCTTATACTTCTGTCATGAAAAGGTTAAGCAGAAGTAGCTGAAGTGTCACTACTACACATTAATAAACATTGCAACAAGAGAACACTAGGGAAGGCAATTTTATTCCAGTCACATTTGCCTTTTTTTTGCCTGTGATCTGAATTAGACCAACCACTAAGCCATAAGTTGGTTGATGTATCATATAACCATATATGGATTACAATGTTGAGTGCTGGCCTACTCAACATTGTAATCCATGAATGAGAAATTGCAATTGCCTCATTTTATGGTTTATTTTTAACAGTTGTATTACATATAAAAATAAGCAATATAAGCTTGAAAGTATAATTGTGAGACGCTGTATCTGGCTTACTGATATAAAGCTATAGTATATAAAACTGCTTTATATTGATCTGGACAATTAGTCTGTGTAGCACTATAGCATATTCTCAGAATAAAATAGAGTTGCCAAGATTTCAAGTAAATATTTTTTTTATCCTTTCAGAGGGCTTTTACTGAAGATATTTGGGCTGAAAATAATGATTTATACTATAATTAACGAATAGCACAATGGCTTTTTAGGTATAAAGCCAGCAAGATTAATTTTCAAAAAAAGAGTAATGTGGTGAATTACTTGAGATTAAGAGCATTACTGATTACAAGCAAAATAAGGATAGTGCTTGAGATAAAATAAACATACTTCTTCAATGATCCAGCAAATAAACAAACTCTAAGACTGTTGTTTAGATATTATGATTATGAAAAAGATTTAACATTTAATGTTATATTCTTCTCTTTTTTTTTTTAGGAAGCAAAGATAATACATGTAGGATATGGCGCTAATTGAGACAAAGGCTGACCCTCTTCTCTAGGAATTTTAATTCAGTGTTTTTATATAGACAATAACCTTTAAAAATCTGCTTTTTGCATCTGTCTTTTTTATTCTTTATGAAACAGAAATATTTTCTAAACTTATTTTAATAATTAACTTGTCTAGTTATATAAAATGTATTATTGAGAAAATTATAAGAAAATGCCTTTTTTCTCTCTAAAGATCTATAGGCTAGTTGGAGTGAGGAAGCTTCATCATACTATTAGTTGTTACTCTTGCATTCATTTAGATACCTTATATTTACAAGATTTAATTTTTATTTAATAAAACATTTCAATATGTATAATGTAAATATCATAGTAGTATTGATTGGAATGTTCTATTTGTATTTTATATTTGGGACTTAATTTTGAATTTATATTGTATAATTCTATTTCTTGATTATTTTTTTTAAAGTATAGTTTATATTTATGGTTTGTCCCATCCTGAAAGATTTAAGCTGAAATGAAAATGATTACATTGATTTTGGCTTTCAATTGTGAGTGTCATAGTGTTGAAGCAGCATAACCCACGTCTTCTCTTTTAATGTGAACTGCCTTTCTTCTCAAGAACTTGATGTTGGTTTTACAGAGCCTTCTAATCTGATCATCTGCTAATTTGGGCTTCTATACAAGCAGGCTGTCCAGGAAAATGCCTGCCCCAAAGTTCATGCAATGTTGTTTATGTTGGCTCTTGTATAATTCTTGTATAAACCAGTATTTGTTGATAGTATTTATGATCCATCATTTCTTAGTCATTAGAAATGATTTTCTATTTCTGTTTTGAATAGTGTTAAAAAACCGTTGCCGTCAGCAAAGCATCATTGTGTTCCAAAATATCCAAATGCTGGCGTAAAGCTTAGTTGTAAATATGTATGAATCTTTAGATTTTGTTATATAGCTCTGAAAATATCAAGTTGCTGGCTTATCTGAACTTCTACACTATGTATAGTTTCCTTTCAATGTAGAAAGCTAAAAAAGTCAGGTGAAATCTCTAATACAGCAATAGACCACTATTTTCTACCTTATAAAACATAGCACCTTTCCAAATGTGGAAGGTGAAACCTCATTTGTTTCTGTAGTACAGTCAGAAAGTTTATAGAATAAAAAATTAAATGAAACTATTAAGCTGCTAGTAAAATGTATCTATTTGCAAGCAAAAATTCCACATATCGGAAGTGAGAGGAATATTATTTGCATCCACATATCAGAAGTGAGGGAAATATTATCTGCATCGGCTCAGAATATATGATTATATGAATTTAATCTTACATCTTACATTAGTGCTAAATTTCAATTACTTAATAGGCTTTTAGGTTTACTGGTAGTCTGATCTTGCTGGTAATGATTTGTACAGAGCTTATCTTCCCCACTAAATAGTTGTACAACAATGCTTTATTTCATCTGTATCACGTACAACAGATATTCAGAATCAGATTTAAGAAAGATAAAGGCAGATTGTTAACACAAATTTATTTCAAGTCAGGCTCAGTACTAAAATGTAATATACAGAGAGAAATGTCATCACATTGTTACATTGATATATTATTTGTGCTTGTAAACATTTATTCTACCACTGCAAAATCTGTGTAATTCACAACTAATTTGTCATTGGTCAAAAATAAATATATTTCAACAATTCATTCTCTAATAATGTATTATTTTATTGATTTCTGAGTACAAACACTTAACTGACAAACTTTTTTAGAAAATGGCACTTTTCCAAAGCAGACCAAGGTGCTAGTCCAAAGTTCTTCTATGAACAATGGTATTCTTTACTTTTCTACATGCACTGTAGAATGATTATTTTCTATAAAGCCACTTAAATTGATAGAAATGCTGGCAATATCTTTGCTCTGTATATAAGAAAGGGCAGGCATGATTGGGAAATGGTGGTAATTATGGCTCTCTATACTGAATTAAAAATTGCTTTTAAAATAGTGCAAAATAATGTTATTTTTGGATACATTCTAAAATCATAATCCTATAGTGAAAAGCACCCCTTTTTGTGAAATAAATGTTCAATATCATAATCGTGCCACAATGAAAACTACTAGCAATGGATATTGGCAAGTTGTACTGGAGCTATTTACCAAGTAGTAAGCTGAAGATTTTGTTTACTGCAACCTAATTTACTTCCTTGATTACTGTATATATTAAAATCAGATTCTTTAGCTGTTACAAAGAATGTTTGAATAGGATGAGAACTATTTTTCTGAGTAGCAAGGTACTAGCTTTTGACAAGTACATTTTTCTGTAAGAAAAATCTTATGTACTATACTTCAAATATTTACAATAAAAGGATACATTAGCTTAAAGATGTTAGAAATAAACTGTTGTTAATAGTATGAAACATTTCATCAGTATAATCTTCCTATTAAGGCATAATGGAAAGCCATTATTTTCCAGGTTTGCCTAATTGAACTTATTTTACTTTTGGAATTAAATGACTATTTAATTCCTGACTGAACCCACTGCAAACTTACTCAGAGTACATGTTTCTATTATTTATTCAGAGATTGAAAATAGTTTTATAAAACACATGAATCATTGTTAAAACTGGGAAATGCTAATATTTTGACAGTGGCCATTCAGGCAAGTGTCTAGAATTCCCAGTGAGACTCGATTCTACTAAAGGAGAGACCAGCATTATACTCACTGAACATGAGTTTTAAGAACTCATTTAAAAAGCTGTTGGGCTTAATTCTTTCAGCAGAACGGACACACTTGTGGAATGACTTTCAGGCTTTTCAGTGCAGCGTCAGCATAGATCTTAATTTGCTCCTTGGGAATAGATTGAAAGCAGAACAATATAGAATTCATTTAAGGACATCTGATATATACTCATTTGTCATTGTATAATCACTAGGAATTTGAACTATAAATACAAAGATTTTTTTAACTGACTTTTGTTACTGGGATTCCAGTTAGTAGTAAATACATAGCTGGCAGATAGTGGAAAATGTCTTTTTCATTTAGATTCTGTAGGAAAAAAAACCCAGTCATTTAATTGCAAATCCTATTCTTTCCAAGAGCAATGCATTCAAAACTACAAAGTCCTACATATTTTACATTGGCTCTTCACTTCTCTCTTTCTGCCCTGTCCTCACTCCTCACTTCCCTTCTTTGCACTGCTTTGGAACAGGGTCATGATGTAGCAGCAGAATGGATACTTTTCAGCTCTATGTTGAGATTTTGAATAAAACAGGGCCACTTACAGATCACTGCCGCTTAAAATGGAATAAAAATGCAAATAATATCTTTTAAGAAGGTTTTTATCCTAGCTCAAGAAGCCAGTCAAAGAGACTCAGAGTCGGCCCTTTGGTTTCTTCATGAAGCTTACAAAATCGTACCACAGCATGAAAGATATCACCCACGTTCCAGCACTTCCGGTGCACAAACTGCACAACATCTAAAAACTGGAAGAAGAAGAAAAAATTTTAGAGAAGGTTTTTTTTTCCCTTTTTCATTTCAAGCGAAGAGATCTAAACTAATACACATTAATTCAGTTTAATTAGTTAAAACAGCTGTATCAAATATGTTGTGCACGTATGAACTGCCCTAAGTCATTGACTGCAGACTGATAGCCAGATCCACTGTTCTGATTCACATTTTGCTACTGATCACTCAGCTAATGATTAATGACAAATCAAATAATCCACATACATTTACTAAAGGATTAAGAGACACATGATAGAAATGAGGACACTATTTAAAAGCAAGTTGTAAAAATAAAAGGTATGTATTATTTTTCCTATAGCTGACTCTGATGAAACTGGGTTGTAGGTTTCTAAAACAGTTCGAATGGCTTTTCAGTGGAAATTAAAACATCCAATACTGGCTCTATTTAAATCATAGAGCAGCACAAAATTCTAGAGAAGTATGTTTCATTCTAATATGCATCAATTCAGCATTTACCTTCTGACATTTTATTTTCACTTCAGACAGTGGGTCAAAGTCTACTAGCCACTTTGCACCACACTATGCTACACTACATGGTATACTATTTTTCTTTGAGGTTAGAAATATTTTTTTATCTTCTTGTATTTTGCAATCATTATCTAATTGCTCTTCTTTTCATCTTTGCTTTTCTGGACTATTTGCTATCAGAGTATGGTATTCTAACCTTAAACACACATTTTAAATATGTTACAATAGCAAGTAGATTTCCATAAGCTAGCTTGCAGACTTAATGCATTTAATCTTTCTCACATAGATTTTAGTAATTGATTCAACTATTTACAAAGCTATCAGCTGTTTCTATGACAGAATTTGGGCAGTAGTTACTGAATCTGCATTTAAATAATATTTTAAGTTTCTCAAATATTTCCCCCTAAATATCTAACAGTAAGTCAGCTTTATTTAAGGGCCACTCGATTATTTAAGATTCAGCAGATTCCTAACATTTTTGCAGCTATATTATTATAGCAATGATATACTTCCCACTATTTATGCAACCTATTTACACTATGAGCTTTGGACCACAGCTTCTACAATGCCTTCCAAAGATAATGCTGAATCTGAAGTGAGTTGTTCCAAGCTACCAAAGGGCATTAGGTAAGAGGGAGCACAATATATGTAAAACTTAAAACACCCACTTTATGTAAGCTATCACTTTACATTTACCTGCTTGACTCGCTACTGTAAATCTAGGCCTGATTTACAGACGTGATTGTCTCTTACAGTTGTGAATGAACAGATTTTTATTGTGGTGGTTGTGGAAATAACTTTTAAGTAATACTGAGTGGCATGTAAATTGTAATACTGTCAATTTCTGGTCTGCTGTCTTGTGTGGGCATGAATCAGACACATTTCATAATATGAGTCAATGAAGGGTAATGCACAGGCTTAGATACAAGGTGTTTGGCTTTAAATCCCCAATTATCCCCAGAACACATGGTACAGAATTAGTATGTCATAATCTCATGACCTTACTTAGAGTAGTGTGAAGACAAAAAGATTTTGTGTACTACTTGGAGCAGCTTAGAGAAATGATGGGATAAAGATGCAACAAATTTACAGGATCTCAATGGCCAAAGATCAGAGGTGGGTTCCTACCAGTTCGCACCTATTCGGTAGAACCAGTTTGTCAAATCTACCGAACCGGTTAGAAGAGGCTCCACCAGTGGACCCGGAAAGCAGGCCACACCTACAGAATAGGTTCCAAATTTTTTTGAAACCCACCACTGGTCCTTGGATATGATTAGTATACACTATCATGCTCATATTTATAAAATTCAGTGCCTCTGTGAAAGATAAGGATGACTACTGCATTTGTGGTGCAATCAGAACATTGCGTGTGTTGAAGTTGTTTTAATGCAAACCAAAGATGCATTTTAAAAAACAAGTTTACATCATATTCTTATGCATGCCAGTGCTGTGTGTGAGGTAATTTAAGGTGGTTCTGACAAGTGTCGTCGGCATCTTCATAGCAATAGCAATAGTTAGACTTATATACTGCTTCATAGGGCTTCCAGCCCTATCTAAGCGGTTTACAGAGCCAGCATATT